CAAATACAAATATATCAGAACAACCATTCCACTTTCGATCCGTTTAAAATAAATATCATTCGTCTCTACTTTTCCAATTGTAAATTGATGATGCATTTTATAGTTGAGCAAGAGAGAGAGAGAGAGAAAGAGAATAATGAATGATCGTCAATTAGGTTATCGTCTTGGTTGACATATTGGAATTGTCCCTAGTTTCATTATAGTTTCAGTTTGATTCAATTAAAATTTGAATCAGAATTAAAACTTTATAAAGTTTGATATGGAGTTATTCATTAGTTTTTTCTTACTAATTACTAGCTATTATCTAAACTCATATTTATCGTTGTTCTCAAATCTATTAAAAATGGACAAATATAATGAATCGATAGATATTACGAATTTCATCATTTTTTTCCTTCTTTTGTTTTATTTATAAATTATTTCTTAAAAATATTTATTTAATAAAAATTTCAAAATTTCCGATAAAGAATTAAATTAAGGAATTTAGTAAACAAATTAATAAATAAATAAGTTGACAATTGACTTTATTTTTACACTTTGTAATTTAAATCCAAATCTTTATTTCATTATTTAATAGACAATAGATAATATATTCAATAGAACATAATGTTTGCATTAGATAGTGAAATTAAGAAGCGCACATTTTGGCATCAATATTATCACCGTTAGGAGGATATTTTAACTTAATGCATCTGGTGTTTAGAAAGCTTTAAATTATAAATTTTGTTTTGATTTGAATATGAATCAAATTTCTTACAGCTTGATTTTTGATTGAAACAAATGGATTTCTTTTCAACGATCGAAGATCCACGTCATACACCCGGAAAACGACATGGTTATGCAAAGGAGCAATTAGCGCCTCAAACATTCATAAGCAATAATCAACGATCTCTTCTTAGCAATTTTATTACCACTCCACCTGTTGTTAAATCACAAAATTATTTTACGGGCTATAGTGGTAACAAATTTTATTTGGCTAAGTACGTTCCTACTAAATTATCTTTTTGTTTTTTAAGTAAAATATCAAGATTTTATAAAATTTAAGAAAAAAGTTCTGAATTTTAAAATCTATTACTTTCTTATCACTTTTTTTGTTCGTAAAAAATACCAAACATTTCAATTTCATGTTAAAATTGATTTAACATGAGTCTATATGATAAGTAAGCTGATTTTCCAACAATGCATTTGACCATTTGCGTCGAAAAATAAACACTTAAAAGAGTTATTCATTATTTTTTTAGAAATGAAGAGATTCTAGACGAAAAAAAAAGTGATTTTAAAATGATCTTTATTACAGGCAACAGAAGCAAGAACGTAACAACTATACGTCTCTTTATCCATCTCAAAAATCTGCATTTTTAACATATAAATCAGTTCTCCGAAATTCTCCAAATCAGAAACCACCGGAAATGCAAACAGATCCACCACCTATAATCAGTAATACGTTAATTGCCCATGATGGTATCCTGAAACCGAAGCCAAGATATATTACATCTATTAGCCAAGAGTATAATAAAAACGCAACAGAATTTGGCAATGTGGAATACTTCGAAAATAATAACGTGAGACTGACTATTCGATCCTTTTCTGCAATATCGTAGATAAGAAGATTTAAATTTGTTAAGCAACAGAAAAAACTTTGTTAGCTAATAGTTTTCAAGCAAAAGATACTGAGATGACCTCATTGTCAACGATCTTTTGAATGAGAAAGACTCGGAGTTAAGTGTAATTTAAAACTTTTTAAAATTCATACTTCAAAATTTTGAAAATTTTGCGATAAAATTCATTTTATATTAAGAGTGGTACAGCAACAATATTGGAAGCAGACACAATTAACAGCAGGCAGGGAAGTACAACACCACAACACCGACCAATAAAAATGGCTTGTTCTGAATTTGGATCCAGGTGAGATAAAATGCAAATATGTTAATTGATCGTTATATTCTGTAATCATATTGAGATATAGACGTACGCACGTCAGTTACGTCTATCTAAAAGTCTTGTTTTATCTCTGCACTTGCATTCGCTGTTAACTCATCCACTTTAATGTGTCACATCAACTTTTCCATACTTTTTTTTTTCCTGAAACTAAATATGATGCTATCACTCTAGTGGTGATACGAAACTCTAATGGTAATACTCAATTTTGAGCCAAATATGCGACACATATCTATTTTAAGCCAACTTTTCCCAAGTAGTAAATATTATTTTCTCTTAAATACCAAAAGGGACTGAAGGAACTTTTTAAGAGCGAAAAAGAAAATGAAAAGAAAGTTTTTGGAAGGTATGCAAAATTTGTATATAATTTGAATATGTTGTAGAGAGTCGCCAATAGCAGAAAAGATAATGAAAGATGTTCCACGACTGAATAATTTTAAAAATATCTTAAATAAATTCCAGGTATTAAATCAACATTATTCTCTAGTTTCAATATTAAGCTATCCTTTTGTTGTAAATAGACGGTGAATATCATCGATCATACCGTATCTACTTTCATTTTGATCGTAATCTCTTATCAGTTCTATCTGATAAGTTTAATGCTTATTTCTCTTACTGATCAGATAGCAAGTGATCATGCATTACGGCAGCAACAGCAACGAGAACAAATACGATACAATGCAAGTGGTCATGAATCGGATCAAGGATTCAACATTCCGAATTTGAAACAATCAACCGAACCTGGATATTCTGAACAGGATTGCACATTTACGAAAAATAAAGTAACATTTTCTAGATAAAATCATTAATTATTGCATCAATTAACAAAGTTAAAGATTTTAAAAACAAATAAAACAATAGAGTTGAAGAAATCTCATACCTTATATCAACAATTATAGGCATTTACGATGTCTATTCCAACTGCTGGGAAAAATATTCGTAATAGTTTACCGAAGCAATGGATCATGCAAGAAAATGACACGCATGTTGACATGGAACAACGATCATTAACAATATCTGGCATATCATCTTTACCACCATCACCATCATTATCATCCTCTCATAAACCACCAAATAGAACCAACAGTTTAAGAGTTCGTGAAATTTTAAATATTTCCAAATATTCAAATATTTAATCCAAAAATATTTAATAAAAATTTTTGCAAAGTTAAAATTTATCATTTTTCAGTTAGTAAGTATGAAACAACGAACATTTTTCGATAACAATTTTCATCGAAATGAACCAGTGAGAAGCCAACTTCAATATAATATCAACCGTTCTAGATTGATTTCAGGAAATGAAGCAATAAAAAGTCCAACTAGCATACCATCCTCTTCTCATGGTTCTGCCCACTTTGTTTTTGTTTTTTTAATCTTTTTAATTTATTCAAAAAAAACACGAAAAAGATAAAATAATAAATGTATGAAATAAGACAATATTTAGTAATTAAAAATTGTTTAAATTTATGAAAATCTTTGTAATTGCAGATATTAATGAAATATTTTCCAAAAATTTGCTCCTGCAAATGATTTGAATTATATGTAATTTCCTCTCCTGAAAATTACCGGAAAATATTTTTCTTACCTAATAATTGCAAATAAAATAAATGTGGTTTATTCATAAGTTTTCCTGAATAATTTCAACAGGATGATCTCTTAAGGTTGCATTATCCGTTGCACTTCAACAGAAAGCTATAAGAAGTTAACACCAGTGACGCAAGTTGACACCCATCCTTCATTATTATCAAAATCAGAACCACGTAGCATCAGCAATCAAATGGAGAACGATAATGAGTTGGTATCCGTTATCGGACTTTATAAACAGGTAAGATTAGCGACATAATGCAAAAATAAATCATTTCATCTTTTTACTTCACTGCTACAACATTTTGGTGTATATTATTCGATATTATCATTAAAATCAGATGATGCGACAAGTGTAAACTTTTAAGGTTTTACCCTTTAGCATCAAAAATTAATTATATCATATTAAAATTAATTTAGAATAAATTTCAGTTCTATTTCAAAAATGATTCTATATATATATATATATATATATATATATCATCAATGCTATAATTTTATTATAATTTCACTCATCAATTTGCAGATGACTTCAAACAATCTTGAAATATTGCAATATGCTTCATCAAATCTGAACAAATTTTTTACAAATCATAATTCAATATTATCAAAAGCGAATCTACAGAAGTGATGCATTCTTATTTGAATTTTTTAAAATTAAAGTTAAATGAAATGTGACGTTATGAAGTGAAAATTTCTTAAAATTGGAAAAATTTTGAAAGTTTGATAATATTCAAAAACATTTCAATTCGAAATAAAATTTAATTTCTAATAACCACAAGCAAACATTTTGAACTTCAACAATTTTAGGTTGAAATTGGATGATTTAATTTTCGAATCGATGATACCAATTTTCTCGAAATGTTACACGCACTTCTTTAATGCATTTTTGCCATACGACGGCTTCCTGAGTTCTGCGATCAATGTGATAGTAAGATAGATGAAAATAATCATAAATGTTACATGATATGGATTATATTTGTTATTAAACTAAATGCACATTCTGCCTTATTGCAGGCTGAACCTGTATTTGTTGATTCTAGTCCAATAAAACCTGATCTTACGATTGGTAACATATGGAATCCACCGACACTTGTAGAAATTAGAGCAAAACGAAATGAGGTAATTTAAGCTTCATTTTGTTCATCAAAATACTTATAGTCTAATATGGTTGACAGTTTTTAATTTTATTCAAACTTGAATAAACATTTCATATTTTTAATAATATTCTAAACGTTGTAATGTTAAACGTTAGTTTGTCGCATTCATTCAATCATATATCATTGCTAAATTAAACAATTTGTGACATTTAATTTCTTTTTTTGTTAGAAAATTAGCTGTAATCTTTCCAGGAGCATCGCATACTTCATGATACTCTACATCAGAACAGCCAGAAATATCGTTTCTTGATTATTCCACGACATACTTTGTTCACATTCAAATCATTTGCTAGTAATCATCAATATGTAAGTAATAATTGCCATTTCTAGTTCCTTTTAGGATTCTTCCATCTTGATTTATCCATAATCCAAATCCGGATGCTGTAATGCTTTAGTTGTCAACACAAGACTCTATAAAATTATTAAGAAAACGGTGGTCATAAAGACTTGCCTTTTGACTTATTTGTTATTTCTATGTTTGTTTTTTGACTTATTTAATTTTATCGTAAAAATTTCCAATTTTAGGACATCAGTGAAGAATACGAACAGAAGGTATGCTTCATCTTATTACAACTCGTATATGCACTGAAATCTTTCCAGTTGAATGGTATCGAAATGGTCAGCGACGATTTAAGTGAATTCATCTTGTTGTCCAGGTAGGACTTTTTTTTTGAATCAAAACTTTATTTGTTGAGCAAAAATTCATAAATTTCCAAGTATGAAGCATTTCTAAAAATTCAAATAACGTTTAGGTACACTCGAACTAATCATAAGATTGGTAGTATGGATCATTTACCAAGGATTCTTCTACTTCAAGTAATTTTTCTTTTGATTTAATTTCTTTAACACTTTAACACTTTTTCCTGACATAACTTAGATCAAATTAAACATTTGACCTAAATTGAGAATGTGATCTTAATCTTCGTCTTCTCTGAGAGATAAAAGATTTCAGTGGTAGCGATAATGGTTGATACAGTTGATCAATCTTTTCTATAAAATTTACATTTAACAGTACTTTTATTGATAGCTTGCACTACCTTATTACTGATCAAATTATTCTTAAGCTGTTCTTCTCTCCTCTTTCGTGCGTTTTGGAATTTAGAGTCAGCACTTTAAGAGTCAACAGCGGACAAAAGAAAGAAAAATAGTAGAGGAAAGAAATCGAAAAACAAAAAAAAATAAAGAATTGACAGATGCAGGAAAATACAATTCTCGTACGATTCAGCAAACGTTCAATGTTGGGATTTGGGTGTTCCACTGTTCAAAATCCCACTTACTCCACCGATACCATTTATAAATGATGAACTTTGAAAGTCAATTCTTTTATTTTACTACTGATGTACCATCTATTTATATATCCTTTCAAATTTCCTACTACTATGAGAATTATAATCGTTATCAAGATAACAGTTTCTTATATTCACTCAAAATTATGATATGCGTTTTGCTTCATTTTCAGGAATCACTTAGAATGACGAACAAAAAGTCCATCGTAGGACTATGTGATTATGGTCTGAAGATACTTTCAACAATGTTGAATTTACACCGTAATTCGCTAAGAAATTTTGCAACCCCTATTCAGGTAACTACTCATATTTATTTAAGCGCATATCCCCTGATGATATGTATCGTTCACGAGATACCCGTTTTCGTTTATGGATAAATCACTCAAATAAATAAGACTGCCGGTTTGACATCGTATTTGTTCAATTATTTGAAACATGAAAACCTTATTTTAAGGAGTCCAATTTTAAGGAATGCGTTAAAGCATTGCAACATGACAAATCTAGTTCGCTGACAGAAGCAAAAAATGCTCTAGAATTTGGAATGTTTGTTGGTCACGATGCTTCCTCACTTAGCGATGAAGAGGATGCACAAGCTTGGATTGACTCAAAACGAGCTGATTATGTTAATTACCTGGTAAGAACAAAACTTGGTACGAAAAATGACAAGTTCTGAAAAGCAAATAAAACACCCACCGAAGATTGCAGCTAAAGGCCTTTTTGACTTTTTTAGGGAACTTGGATGGTAACTCTAGATCGCATATTATCAACGTAGGAATGACGGTCATTTCAGTTCAATCACGGTAGCAATGACCCACGGACCCAACAGAAAATATGTTTTTTCAGTTCCGTGAAGTAGCTGGCGGTTCCTGCTTGCTAAATGATGTATATGAGCGACTGCGCCTGCAATTCCTTCTCTCCGTCACGCCACAAACATTGTTGAAAATGCTCGACAACATGCATCTTCAAAATTTTAAATAAAACATTCTGTGCTTGACCGAAACAGTAAAACTGCGCGCAATTCTGTACGGGCTTGACACGTAGACGATATGTGATATGAATCAAAAATCCTTCTCAGGAAGTTCACAATATCTGTCACTTGGCATATTCTGCCGTATCAAACGACTGCAATGATCTCAGGATATTCATTTCCTGAACAGCCCAACTGAAGAAACAGTTTTTATTATAAGACAGTAAAACAAAACGACAGTTAATTATAAGAAAAACAAAAAATGGAAGTATGACATCAGAAGGACAAAGCAAAGAGAATGCGAACGTGCGCCGCTCTCACAATAATTACGCCAATTCAACCGATTTCTCATGGCATTCTTTAAATTTAATCTTTCCAGAAAACTATCGGACATTAAACTCACTAACTTTCACTCAACTTTAACTATCTACTCAACATTTACGAAATACAACAGTTTTCTAGAGATCCAACAAAGATGGAAACAGAACCTCTCCACGTGGAGCGAACATTTACTGCGCAATAACAAATGCAAAATACTCTTATCGCAATTTAATAATGCCTGCTTCGCGTAGTTTCACAAGTTTTCTTAAAATATCTGGGTTTTGGAGATGCTCACGCACCGCTCCCTGATCTTGACTCATTTGTTCCAGCAACAGCCGCATACCTGGGTCTCTGAAATTGAATGATTGGTATGGACTGAAGAAACTCCATAAAGATTATTAATAGCCAAAAAAAATTAATGGCAGTACGGTCTCTGTGTCCTACAGAAAATGTCTGATGAAAACGAACTTGAGTATTTCCTGTACTTCTGGATCCCGTAATGCACGCTCTCGTGCAGCATCTGGATCTTCATTATTGTTACTCATTGCATTGATTAAACCATCACGAGCTTCCTGATTATTATTATCTAATGCAAGAGCTGCTTCATACGCACTCTGTGCCTTACCATATTCTTTAAGTGCGATTAATGCAGCGCCTTTCCTGATATAGGCTTTTACTGAAAGGAAGAAAAATATTACATTAAGAAAGCCAATATATAATAAAAAACATGAAATTTCATAAATTAACAATGCATAAGCATGTTCTTCTAGTAAATGACATCATAAATTTCATAAGCTTACTAAAGGTGGGATCTTTCTTGATACATGTGTCGCAGTCTTCAAGCGCTCGATGAAATTCCATTAATTTTGTGTAACAAGCTGCTCTGTTTGAATAAAGGACAGGGTTTTCGGGATCTCGCTTCACGGCTTCGTTATAATGCTTCATAGCTTCCGGATATTTACCTAAAAATCTTTTATAGAATAGAGCAAAGAGAGTTTGAAATATTTACTCCACTTGTTATGGAGTTCACCTCTGGATGTGGAGCTCTTTGTTAGAGTACCTGCTAAACAATGAGCACATAAAATTCTAATTCTATGCACAACAGTGGCCTCGTGGTGTGTATTAAAACTGCGCCACAATAAAACAAAAATTACGATAAAACGATTAGTGAATTTTGGAACAGAATATGGTATTTCAAGATTCCACATCACAGGACAGTTAGAACTGCTGATTACTAGAAGGAACCTGATTTTAATCCACCTACAAGTGATACAGTGATACTTGCAAAATTCAAAGAAAGCTAACCTCGCTTGAAAAGTTCGTTACCCTTAATTTTCTCTTTTTCTGCTATTTCTGGATCTATATAAGCTAATCTTTCTCTCTCAGCTAACTCTTTCTCCAACGCTTTCTTCTTCTTCACTAGTTCCTGAAATTAAAATAACCTGTTAAATTACATTCTCGTAATAAAAAATTACTGTTACTAATAGCTAATTAACACGGCGAATCGGAGGAAATAGCTAAGTGACTAATACAATCTTCAAGAAAAATGACCAGTGATTAAATTCAGTATCCGCTCAGACAATCAATACCAGAAAATGCATTGTACTGAATAATTGGAGGTTATAAAACTATAAATTTAACAAAGGAACTTGGAAATAATGTCTTACAGGATCTCTGTGTTCGGACAGCGACTTATCGAAATATGTAAGTGCTTCTTTCAACTGATCCAATTTCAAATAAGCATTCCCTATCCGGGAAAAGGCCCTGTGAAAACGTTTTAATACATACATTAAATACAGGCACTAAATACATAAAAGTTTATTTGGATCAAGTAAATACATAAAGGTTGACCTCATCATAACAGCATAGGATCACCCTTATCTGTGTGTAAATATTTACACATGTCTAAATGAAAGAAATTTTTGGCTCACATATTCAAGTTTTTAAAACCGTTTACTTTGCAATGTGCGTATAGTCCGCTCGCTGTTCACGACCAATGTCTACTGCTTTCTTGCACAGTTCGATACATTCGTCATATTTTTTCTGCTCGAAAAGCACCGCTACAATAATGAATATAATTGCTCCAGTACCCATCGCATATTGCCTAGTCCGGAGTTAGTAATACTGCCCGTCTAACAATAAATAAATCGCTTAAAATATATCCACCAAAAGCCTACTACAGATGGAGCCTATTAAAAAAATTTACTACACCAAAAGCCTATTACACCAAATAAAGATCGGGAAAAATCAGTCCAAAAATTTCAAAAACACGAAGGGATGAATAGAATTACATCCCTCCTACCCGGTGCATTGTCAAATTATTATGTAAATAATGGAAGCAATCAAAGGGAAAATTAAAGACGTTATTCTTCGAGACATTTTAAATAAGCTCTTACCAGCTTTATTGTTGTAAAAAACAATATTCGCAGGGTCAATCTCGATAGCTTTATCATAATGCTTTATTGCTTCATCGAAGTTCCGTTGCTTATACGCTGCATTGCCGAGATCTTTTTCTTTCAAAGCCTGCAGTGAAAACCTCCATAGAAGGGTGCTACTATATACCAAATAAAAAAGAAAATTGATGACTATTGCCAAAACAATCAAGAAGAAAACAAACTACCTCTGCCATTATTATTATTAAAGACGCTGCTTTTTATTACAAACACGCTTCTTTTATTTGATGTCGCCTAAAAATCAGAAATCTATCAGAGTTAGACATCGGAAAAATAAAAGAAAAATATGAAATCGTGCATAAAACTAAAAGAAATCACGTGAGATCCGAAGAGAGATCAGTGATAGCAAAGTGTAATGCTATCACTGATCTCTCTCCGGTATACAGTGTGGTGACCAATACTTTCTACTTCACGTTGGTATGTCCAGTAAACGTTGCTAATAAAAATGGAAGCTCTATTTAGACAATTTTATCTTTCGGATGTTCTACTGTAACGGGAACATTACGGATTATTTAACCTCATCGTCATACATCACTGAACGTACAGGCATAACGATGTATCTATTTCAGGAGATGTACAGGTGACAAAGAATTCCTTTTTAATACAGTGCTTATGGATTGACCTATTATAGTGCCAGAAGAGGAATAGTAAGGAGTAAAAGTGGAATTCTAAGTCGGGGGAATATCCTAAGCTGTCACTGGGATAAGTCAATTCGAACAACCAACTATTCGGAACACTGATACCAACATTTCATGAGTCTAGTATTCACTACAAAGCGAGTGGGTGTTCAGGGAAGAGACCTGGAACTTTTCCTCATCTGACCGCGGGATCTCAGAGACCTATCCAATGCAACAATCCAATCATCATAAACATAAGTCTGTACTCCAAAACATTCAAACACAGATTGTACATACCCCCGCCCCCGTACTTCGAGAACAATCTAGAAGCAGATACAGTAATCTGTAAGTGAATTGTAAGAGCGCGCGCGACTGTTGCAGCGTATGAGATGATACAATCGTCATGAAGTGTTTTGTGGATTTGTAATTTTCTCATTGGTTCGTTGGTTAATTCCTGGGTCAGAGGTCAAGGGGTCATTATTATGTTCTTTGGCCAAGAGGTTATTATTATGTTCTTTCTCAGAAATAAATCAATGGCGAGGTTATCGAGTTCAAGATGAGAATTTCGTTCAACCGTGCTACTGTAGAAGAGAGTGATATAAAAAGGAATTCTAGAAAGAGAGATTGTAGAACTGTTGGAGAATGTGAAGAATTGACACAGGAGAAAGATAAGATTTCTGATCTAAGTGTTGATACAATGAATTAGAATTGTTAGTCTCACAGAGGGAAAGCTTCCGGTTTAAAGGTCAACGGTTACACTTTCTTGTGCTTTTCTGTATGGTTTCGAAACCATTGCGAATTACTTATTAGGAATAAAAGGCAGAATCACTGAAACAGATATTGGGTATTATTAGATTACCTTGGTAGAGGAAAATCGAATTAACTAAGGTGTTTTCACAGATTGTGTACTGTTGGATTTTTTATTGCAATTTTAGTAATTAGATGAAAGCTATTTATTTATTCAAACAATGTTGTTGTAATGCGGTTGTTGCAACATACAGTAGGAATTTCAGTAATTAAATAAATTTCATTAGTGGAGTTTTTTTTCCCCAGGAATACTGAAGCTTTGAATGGCAACAAATATTTACTTTTGTTTTTGACCTTGCAATTGTTCGAGAAAGTACTGTGTCAACCAAGAAGGCTTTCATCTAAGAGGAAGAGTGTTTTTGTTCGAAAAAGCTCTTGTATTTAGCTCTAAACTGATAAAATAAGTAATGACAATTGAATCATTTAATTCAAACCGAAGTGATTCATACATCACTGCATTTCCCGCAACTTTGCTGATTTATGAATTTGTCCGTATTTTAGTGAATCATTTGAGTTATTCCAGCTTCAGATGGACTGCGATATTCGATTGCTTCTATCAGTGCTGTTGCTACCGGTTTGTTGTTTCAGTGTGGCACAAGCATCAGTAGGCTTTTATGTGGATAATGAGAATGCGCAATCGATACCACTTGCTGTTAGCAGGTCTTCAGGCTTACTTTTCACTTCTTTTATTTCACGCGAAAGTGAAGAAGCTGAAAATTCAGTGTTTATTAGTAAAGGGGAGTTTATGTTATTTCATCAATTAGTCCCTGAATTA